TAGCCACAGAAAGGAAAGAAAGTGATGCAAGGAAAGCGGAGAGAAATAATCCTTCCTTTAGACAGGAAATAAGCAGAAGAAAGAAGGAGAAAACCTCAGAATCAGGGAGGAAGCTGAGGAGGCGGTGGGCGGCGTCATAAAGAACGCTCTGAGCAGGAGCCTGAAAGGAGCTCTGTGTGAACAGGACTGACCTCACCATGGCTGAGCGGTGACACCGGACCCAGCCATTGTTTGCCCTACAACTAAACTCTAGTTTCTGCCAAATACATAAAGGTGTAATCAAGATGATTGTCATGGAAACCACCGACGCCATGAATAAGCGTAACTGGGTGGAGCGCGGCTCTCCTTCCTTTAGACTTTCCCCAAAGGAGAGGAAACAAAACCAGGGAAGAAATTAAAAACGTTCAACAGCTACTACTGCTTCATGAGATCATCCAGGAGAAAAACCAGGGACCTGGTTACCATGCCGATCAGAACCGGGCTCTGCTCCAAAGTCCCTACGGAAGAGGAAAAGCTCACCTCTGGAATTCTTTCTAAAGATTGAAGCGTTCCTCCAACTTAAGATATTTTATGTGTTCATATTTGTTAGAAAACTTTGCTGTTTTTAATGTTAAAACCATCCCTGTCAATTAAACAAAAAAGTGAGTCATTCATGTTCCTTTCTGAAGATTGCAGAAAGAATCACCTTTGTTTCAAACTGCAAAAAATGGAAATCTAAATGAGTCAGTTTTCTTTAAATAAGTGCATTTTTTTCTATTTAAATTGAGGAGGTAAGTGAGTCACTTTGCCAATGAAACAAGAACATTAACATTTAAAATAAGAACAAACAACTGCATTGTCTTATTTGTAGTGCATATTATCTAATGATCTTATTTTAAAAGTAAAAAACCTCATTCCATTGGCAAATAAATTTATTTATCTACTCAAATTAGGGGCAAATACACCTAATTTAAAATATTTTTACTTATTACTAGATTTTTTTGCACTGCTTTTCACTGTTGAAAGCTGTATGCATCTGACTCTTGTTTTGTATTCACTCTGTGCATACAAGATTAAATACAGTTAGTCTAAGTCTTGACACATTCATCTCCACTTAGCTTCAGTTCTGTCCCTCAGGTCTCATAATGCTAAAAGGAAATGGTCTGCAGATTCAATAAAGGTAAAATAGCATAAAATGGAGACAGACAGATATTTGGCCATTTTAAGGCAGTTAAGTCCACAACTCTGCGTCCAGCATAGCTACAGTTTACAACAGGTTTAGCAGCTCTAACATGGAAATATCAGTAAATGGAAACATGCCAAACACTGGCAATTGGCAAAAAAAAAGGGAGATCAGTTGCTAATGGGAAAAAACAAATGTTTTTCAGTCAAGCCTTGGAAAAACTATCTAGAGATAAGTAAACATTTATTTAACTATGTGTATTTATCCTTAATTTGAGTAGGTAAATGAAATAGTTTGCCAATGGAATGAGTATTTTTTTAGAAATAAGACATTATAATTGTGTTTTCTTATTTTAAGTGCAGATTGTCTCGTTCCATTGGCAAAATGTCTCTTTAACCTCATCAATTGCTCTTTAAGCTAATGTTTGCATATTTTAAAGTTTCTATTCTCTAGTTAATAGAGTAAATTAGATGATTATTTTAATTAGGGATGCACTGATCCGATATTTTTATTGGTCCAGATATAAAGAAAAAAAACTAGATCAGTATCGGTGACAATTGACTGGATATAGGGGCCGGTCTATTCATTCTAACTCTATGCTATGCTATGCCGTCATGCGGCAGCGCAACAACACAACACGGCCTCATTGTTTATGATGCAGATCCTTTCATAGTGGCAATAGATCCTTTTTTTAATGTTTTTTTTTTTATGAGTCATAACATTCATATTTGGGTTGTTTGTTATTTTTTTATTTTTTTTTAAGAAAAGGGAAATCAAATCGTATGCACAGAAGAACGATCGCAGTTTTTTTTTTTTTTTTCACACAATAAAACCATCTTTAGGTAATAATTCAGTGCTGTTTTTGGTATCGGTAAGAAGTGATTAATCCCATTAATTGTTTTAGCTCCACCACAGTGTGTGTGTGTGTGTGTGTGTGTATATATATATATTTTATTTATTTTTTTACATTTTCAATGTTTTATTTTATGTTTTGTTTTGCTTTTCTGTTTTTCAGATTGAGTTTTAAACATTTCATTCTTTTCAAATAGTTTTTTCCAGATCACATTCTTTGTTTGAATTTCTATTGGTCCGCTGGACGTTAGCGACAACATTTTTATTGGTCAATGTGGAGTTGAGAGCAAGCGTTGGTGTTTGGCTTACAGTTGAAAGAATGATCTGTAAAAAAAATAAATATAAAAACTGCAAGGAATGCAACTTGTAAAGCTGAAAAACAGAAATTTCAAGTAAATATATATAAAAGCTCAACATTTTTTAATTTAAATTTGAAATATAAATTTTTAAAATTTTTTAAATAAAAAAAATTGATAAAACATTTACAAAATAAAATTCAATTTACAAAAATTAAAATAAAAAAAAACCTAATCAGTGATTTTTTTTGTAAAAAAATTTTTTTTTGCAAATAACAGATCGCAGAAAACAGTGACATGTGGCCAAGGCAAAAGTCTGAATCTGTCTGAGCCTTAATTAACTTTAAAAGCTGCCAAGGATGATCTAATGTAGAGTTTAGGCAAAACACCAACAGCATTTAGTACAGAGCTCCACATTTGAAAAAAAATAAATAAAAAACAAGTGGGTGTGAGCTGTTCCAAAACAAAATAGAAATGTAAATTTGGATTACATTTAAAAAATAAAAAAAACTTGTCACAATCACTGCTCTGTCTGCAGTGATATACAGCAGAGCCGTCTGTTTATGTAATGAGAGACTAAAGTTAACAGCTCTCAGCTCCCTAAAGGGCTATCCCATTACCCAGCTGGTTAACCACTGCTCGTAACCATTTCCACTGCAGAAAAAATAGATTTCACTCAGTGGAAAGGAAGGATCTGGAAAAACACTGCTTGGATTTCAAAGAACTGCTGCTAATCTTCCCAAAGAGAAGTCTGTTCAGATCTTCCTCTTTTCAGGAGAAATCAAATCACAACGTTACCAAAGTATCAGGGCCGTTTCTGAAACTTTGACACGACGACTAGGGTGTATGGCGTGAACTTTGCTCCATTATTATTGTAAGCAAAGAACACGCTCTGTAAATTAAAACAAAAAAATGTAATTTAGAAAAAAACGTTCTCATAAAAATAGTTAGGGTTATGAGAGTAACTATGCTGTTCTCTTAATGTTTGTTTTATTTTATATTCATTTTTAATTAAACTTTTTGTACAAATTCGATTTTGTTTTATTTTTGTTTTTCAGATTTTTTTATGTTTTACAGATCACTTTTTTCACCTGAAGTGCAATACAAATGCTTGATCTAAACCAATGAAAATGTTTTTGCTATGTTCATGCAGACCAATAGAAATGCGTCTTTGCTTCTCACTCCAGAGGAAAGCCCGCCCCTGGAAGGGAAATGTCTAATCTGAAAAACTGAAATTTAAACAAAAAGAAATTAGAAATTAGCAAAAAACAAAAAAAAATCTAATTAAAAAACATTGATTGAAAACAGAAAATTTACTCTCAAAACCTTTTAAATTAAAAGTTTTTTTTTTTTATTTCATCTATGGACTGCATTTATTTCAAATTTGAATCTACAAAATCTGTTGTTTTTTTTCTCCAAATTTCCATTCTTTACTTGCAGCAATAATGGAATGAAACTCACTCCATAATATCAAACTAAAAATCCAGCCAGTCAACATAAGAGAAAACGCTAGCAAATCACACTGGAACACCCTTCAGTGGGAAGCTGTTGTAGAGTGAAGCCGCTGTCACAACTTCACGATTTAGATCAGCGTATGCCTGACGTAAAAATCTGGCAAATCGCTGGCATACGTTGGATAAGTTATGAGGACGCTGAAACACGTCAACATACGGCGAGTACTTCGAGAAACTTTGAGCATGTTCAAAATTTCTAGACGTGTTCCAGCGTATGCCATACGTGGGGCATAAGTTACAGGTAAGTTATCTGATCGTTGACATACGCTAAAGGCCAATTTATACTTCTGACGCATAGCCTCTGCAACCGTCAAATCTGTCTCTGTGCGTGACCACGCCCCCCGCGCAGAGGTTCTGCAACTGTCGTTGCGCACCTCAAAATAAATCTATGCCTCGGACGTTAGCAAACACGCTCAGACCTCAAGCGGAAGTGCGCAGACAGAAAGCAGCTGTGATTGGTCCTTGGTATGTCTTTCCCGGCTGTTTGTGGTCGTCCTTCTCGATTCGGTGTGGGAGGGTGCCATTTTTAAAAAACTGGGGAACAACTACAATGGACGACTACGACGAAAGGTTAATCTGTCTTTTTTGCCAACTCCATTAACAGAACCTGTTCCTCTTCGATGTCTAGCAACTCTAGATCCCTCTCCGTCACCGTGATATCTTGCAGATGCGACATTGTTGTTTTGGAAGATAAACACTCCTGCCGCCGGCACCAAAGTTCCCGCAACCATCCGTCAAAGTTCTCGCGAGTCTTTTGAATAGGCTCCCTTTTGCGTTTTGGCAGGAAACTGCTGTGCGTCCTTAGAAATTCCAGACCGACGGCGCAGAAGAATACCAGCAAAATTATTTTGCGACATTTGATGTGTGCGGTTGCAGAAGTCTAATCTGCCCTTAAGTGCAAGTTACTCATCAGTCGTGGCGTCTAGCTTATCCAAAACCTATGAGTTACTTGCCCACAACTTATGCGTAACTTATCAAGAACTTGTCTCCAATGCTTAGCAACATATCTGACGTGTTTCAGGCAATTGCTGAACATTTCTAAATTCCTATCAGACATGACGCTGAATCTGCTGCGACTCCAAACCTTCTTTCTTGCCGTTTCTTTTTATTTATTCTTTTTTTTTTAGCAGGTGGTAAACAGCGGCTGGGTTAATACTGCGAACAAAAACATCTTTTTGGCATCTTTTTTTCCACCTAAGGGGAGCAGCTTTAATCGACGCCTCGTAATGCCCATGAAATAATGCTTGAGCATCCTTTAATAGGCATCATGCTGTTGTGAGTTATGCATAAATTAGGCTGTCGTGGGAAAAAAGTTCTGGATTTCTTATAAATACTCTTTATACGCCCAAAATTGAAAAAAACTACACAGAAAGTTCAGAGTATGCCAGCGTTTTAAGAGATTCTGGGACATCAGGCATACGCTGACAGGGCCCTGAGGAAGATACACCCAATGAACCGACAACAACAGCCACAAGAAATCTAGCAAGAAACTAACTAAAAAAAGTCTGGAGATGTCTGAGTATGTACTCTACAGTTACTGAGTCAATATTTCTCAGTGGTTTTCCTTTCCAGGACAGCAGGGCCCTGCTATCTGATCATTACGGCGTGTGTGACTAACACAGGCGCTAAATGCTCCCCTGGCAGAGGTGGGGCTAAACAGGCTGCATATCAGATGTTTAGAGACACACTGAGCTGAGCTTACAGAAACTGATGAACTGGGTGCATTGGTGCAGTATCCAGAGGAGGGAACAGACGCCACAGACCACCTTCGCCCATCCGCCCTGCTGAAACAAAAACAAATAAGAAGTTCAGTGGTCGCGTTCGAAACCCTCACATCCTGTCGATGCACTTTAGACTTCAAACACTTCATGCTCTTTGCTTGTTAGAGATGCAAGTTAAGGCATGCTTTGCAGCGATTGGTTGGCTGCTCCAACCTGTCCATGCTCTCTTACCTTTCGGTGCGGGCCAGCTGGCTACAGAGACAGGAGGCGGGAAGATACAAACAGGAGAGATGAAATTAAAAACCGGTTCATTCCGCATTGCTGCCAGTGTGGCTGTGCTGTTGGGTCTGTCGTGTCCTAGCAGCCGGCAGTTAGCCGATGTAGCAGATCCACCACGACGCTATCGCACTGCAGCGTCCCACTGAACACCAAGTCAGCATGTATGGAGTGATTTTTGTTCCATTATTGCTGCAAGCAAATCTATCTGGAATTTTAAATTTGAAGAAAATGCAACTCAGAAAAACTTCCTGATCTAAAAAGGTTTTAAGATTAAAGTAGCAGTTTTCTTGGATTTTAATTATTTTCTTCCTTAAATTTTTCTATTCAGATTTTTATGTAAAAAAAAAAAAAAAACATTTACAGATTTTTTTTTAAATGTTTCTTTTTTCCAAGATGGGTTTTACAAATTGCATTATTTTCTAAACTCTTTTCATAGATCACGTTATCTTGTTACTGACGTCCAGCAGACCAATAGAAAGGCATCTTTGCTCCCCATTCCAGAGGGAAAATGCTATGCGAGAAAAACGCAATTTGAAAGAATGCATTTCAAAAAGAGAAAGTGGAAAAATGCTGATGAAGATTCTCAGTCATCCAGGTCATAGTCATTCCGTAAAAGTTCAAAAAAATCCACTGGACTTAGTTTCCAAGATTTGAAATTTCAAATTTTGGAAACCAAGTCCTTTTACGGAAAGTGGAAAAATGCTTTTAGAAAATATAAAAACTTTTTTTTTAAAAATGGTTAAAAAATATGAAAAATAAAACCTGAGAAAAAGTTTCTCTCAAAACATTTTTATGATTAAAAGTTTTCAAAGTTTCATTTCTGCATTGCATTTTTCCCCCAAAATGTTTATTCATGAAACCTTTTCTTTGCATGCAAAGATAAAGGATCAAAATTCACTCCATAGAACTGCATCTGACAGACAGAAAAACTGAACACGCTCCTGGCAGTCTTCCTTGCATGCTCCAAGGATGTGACCCGGTTTCACAGACTGATCTGATCCAAGGCGACAAGTTCAAAGGTTCAGTAGTTAAACCTGGAGACATTCGGCTCAGTCTGACAGGAAACATATGCAGCTCTCTATCTGCAATCAGCCATAGCTCCTCTGCATCATTAGACCTGTGCACACATTAGTTGGATCAATCTAAAAGCATAAACTCTAACAAATGAGCATCTTTTAGTTTGTATGCAGCGGTAACTTTACTAAAAATAAAAAACCATCATAGGCTAGAAGATAAAGTGGCTCTATATTGATCGGTAGAACAGGTGGCGTTGAAGCCAGAGGTAGACTGATCCGTTACACGGATGATTTTAGTCTATATTTGCGCTTTTCTTCCCGCCTTTTTATACGAATAAATCGACTGCTCCCTCCGTTTGCCATCTAATGTTAATGTTTGTTTATTAAAAAATCTTTTTCTCTATACCAGGGAAAAGTTAGACCGATGTCAAAATACTAAGACATAAAATTTGAATCTGTTAAAATTACATTAACTTGTCAGGAAGATGATGGGACTTTATTCCTAATAGTTGGGATGACCATTTGCTTTAAAAAACAGAACTTTCCTCTTTAATTGCAATTGGTTCTGAAGGAGATATTCAAAACGTTTTAGAAGTTTAAAAAAGCTCAATTTGGTATCTTAAGTTCAGAGACGGGCCGAATCAATTATTGAAATAATCATCAACTCATAATGGAATTAAATCTCTACTAGAGTAATAATATACAGACTCTACATGTCATTTGCTCAAAGAATAACCAGCTGACAGTGATTAAGAGAACACTGCAAGATTATAAAGTTAATTTTAATAAAATGATTGCATCTATTTTACGGTTATTTTTAACATGTTTTGCCATTTAAAAGCAATCTAAAATGTATAAAACTAGTTTTAGAAACGTTAATCGACAAAAAAAAAAAAATCTCTTTACAAAAACGATTAACTGATTACTAAAATAACGGACCACAGTTTTTGCTCAAGCTGCGCGGAGCAGAGAGGAAACTGAGCCCTGCTGAACCAGCCGTCTTTTGAAGCAGAGAGCCGACTGCAGAAATGCTTCTCTTGACAAACTTCCTGTCCCATTATCTTTAGCTTTTTGTAAAAAAAAAAAAAAAAAAAAAAAAAAAAAACCTGGGCAATAAAAAACACAATTATGAGCAAAAATGTTTATAAATGCAGCTTCACTAAAAGTATCTCTTCTTTGAATAATCCTTCAAAAAATAAGAGATTAATTCATGTAGTGTCTGAAAAGCTGTACTAAATGAAATTTTGTTTTGTTTACACTGTGTATACAAAATGACAATAAAAGTTTTCTAATGCTACGTTCACGTCGAAAGCAGCAGAGGCACCAAAAACGCGCATGCTGCTTCATTTTTGATGCTTGTACAAGTTTAGTTCTGACGCGAGGCTAAAGAATATTTGCTGCTCTATCAGCACGGCTGAAAAGTGGGTCTGATACACGTAGGGCGGAGCTACTATCCTTTCTTTCCCTGGACAGGGTTCCTACAGCATAAGGCAAGTTAAATTCAAGACTTTTTAAGACTTTTTAATGCCACTTGAAAT